CTATTAAGAACCACAGCTCATTTGGCTTCCTTGTACAGTTAGTGTCAGCATTATAACACAAACTGGTAGTCTATTATCTTGCTTACGATTCACCTTCTACACAATATTCCAATAGTCACTCTTTTATCTATCTTTCTGTCCTGCTGTTTTAGTTGGAACAATATGTGGAATCTCCCAGCAATCAAAGCTTCCCTCGTGTCCTGGCGCTGAGATCCAGCAATGTCTCTCAGCATTTGTGGATATTACTGTCAGGCCTCTCAGAGCAACTTTGGGCAGTTGAGGTCTTCAGCCATTTTATTTCTTGAATATCAACTACCAAGCAGTGTGTTCCGATGGAGTTTTTCTGAATGTGTGCAATTTAAGATTAATCCAACAGTCAAATTTTAAACTTGCCTGCATATTGCATAACGTTAATTGTTAAGCGATAATAACAACAACTGTTTTGAAACTTGAAGCCTATCCATCGTTATTAAATTGTCATGTTTAAGAGTTGTTAATTTTTTAAAAATTTACTGATATTTATGTGTAATATTAATAATATTTATTATAATAAAATTTAATATTAATAGATTTATTTTCTGATCAAGGCATGGCACTGAGGACTGATAACTACATACAGTTGAAAAAAATATTAGATTTATTTTCATGCATTATTTATTCTATGTCAAACTAGCGATGCCATACCGCAGAGGTTTAGACTATATTGACATTGATTTTTCATGAGGTTGAAATAACATAATTCATCGCCGGTTTTAGCTGACTGGTGTATTGCTTTTATTGTACTCAGGCTGGAACAATTCGTTTAATATTAAACCATAGTAGTACGTTTTTATTCAAAAAAAATTACATTATACAAATAGCCTAAATAAAGTTTAAAGTTATTATTAATAGAGTAAATTGAGCAAACTTTAACATTGAGACTACTTAACACCGGCAACGCTGAGGCGAAGGGAGGTGAGCATCTCATGAACATAGGCAGACTGGCTTTTCGGGAGGGCCTAAGATCGGCTAAAACCGATCGTTTCAGACAGAGGCTGAAAAGAGGTGCTCAGCTATAGGCAGTATGAGAAAAATAATGTGTTTTTTGAACATTAAAACATCTAAACCTATTGTAGTAGAGCCACAAAATACAATTATGAACCTGAAAAGGGGCATAATATGACTCCTTTGAAATATGGACCTAGTAATGGTGCTAGATGAAAAGTCAGGATATCACCAATATTCTTAGATTTAATTGTGAAGGTGACACAACACAAACCTCTCTACCAATTCCTTTTCAATCCATCCAGTAGTAACTGTGAACTTCAGGGGATCACCAAAGTCATCAGTATTCATCCTCTGGTACATGTCTGTATTAAATATCACTGCAGTCTAATAGTTAATCTAATAGTTGTTGTGATGTTTCAGTCTGGCATTGTCGTCCTTATAGAGTGGTCACTATCTGTGCATTGTTTATATTTTAATTATCAAGTGGTCAACTTTAAGCACAAATGTATGTAACAATATATACTGAAAATAGACATTTAATTAAATAATTTACAAAAACAAACCTTCAGATTATGATAAAATGCAGGCATCTCTGTATTAGGCCCCTTCCTATATCTTGCTT